TTTAGTTTCAAAGTAGAATCATTTAGGTGATTTATTTATAAACAGAGCATAAGAACCTAATGTTTTCTATATGTTTTACGATCTGAAAATGACTAAATATTGTGTTGTGGATACTTACCTAATATCATGACTGAGGTGGGATTTATGCTCAAGTTGAAGGCATTGTCGGAATTATTGACAGCTTGTACGAATTCTTTAATAACAGCAGAATTCATTGGGAGATCTGCATAAGAAGTATTCCCATGGAACACAGCTGCAAAAGTCGCCCGAGTTTCAGTAACTCGTGTTACATTTGAGGCACTGTATCAGAAACACAATGAGGAAAGTAATATGAGATTATAATATTGTCTTTTGATATGTATGATTAACTACCAATATTAGAAGATACACATGTTAGAGACTAAATAAATAAATAGTCAGAGAAGAACTCAAATCACAAATATTTATTTACCGGAATTCTTTCAAAAGGCAGTGGGAAAATGTTTCGGGATATGTTTTTCTGTATATTTCACCACACTGCAAAAAGAAACAACATTGAAGGATTAGCCTTCAAGCACAGTTTTCTAAAAGGCAATTATGAAGATATGCAACATTAAAAGGCCATGATTAGTATTCATTGACATCTTAAACTTTCCATCCGATTGTTCATTCACGTTCAAACTAATTCATTTTACATTTGTGCGATTTGAAAATACACTCACCGCATTTAAAATTCTTTTTTCAAGTGCTTTGTATTCCTTGCTGCTGGTGTTAGTGAGGGCAGGGGAAAAAGGTTCTCCTATCAATTCTATGTCTAGAACATAATTATGATCCGGAGCTGCTGTGTTTGTTGCTGCTGCAACTGGTGTGGTTGCTGGTGCATCAGTTGTAATTATATCTGGCACTGGACTTGCTGTAAAACAAATATATTAACAATATGTGAATACATTTTAGTGAAAACACTCAAAGGATATATTTATCCTTGTATGATGTAAAATGTACTTTGGTTACAGTTTCACAGACCAATAAGAACCATAATAAAAGGATTTCAAAAAGTAGCCTTTGCAAACATTCTATTATCTTATTTAGTGAATGATGAGTAACGATATATATCAGTAAATAAGAGATTATTCAATTAAAAAGCTTTCTTACTGAATATAAGATAGTTTGGAGAAGAGCTCGTCATGCATGGATAGGACTGTACAACACTGAATATTGTTGAGGTTTTCAGTATGAGTTCAGTTGCTGACTTATTTATGAACTGAGCTTGAGCGGCACATTCTATTCCAAATGTATTACAAAATGATGATGGTAAAATAATTTGTTATGTTTACTTACCTAATACTTTGACTGAAGCAGGATTAATGCTCAGGTTCGGACTATTGGTGGAATTATTCAGAGCTTCTACTAAGGTTTGAGCAACAACATCATTCTGTGGGAGCTCTGCAATGGCAGTAGTCCCATGGAACACAACCCCCACAGTTGCTTGAGTTTCGTTGTCTTTTGGTGGATTTAAGGCACTGTATCATAGAAAAGAGAGGAAGAAGTGTTATATTATAATATTAGATGATCCTGTTTCTTTTTTAAATAGGTGGTAATGATCCCATCTCGATTGGAAGTTACCAATGTTAAGTTCTCAACCCTTCATATAGAATTCAATCAGAGAACCACACTTTGATTTTTCATTTACCTGAAGTTTTTCAAAATGCAGTGGGAAAACGTGTCTGGAAACATGCTTCTGTATTCATTGTTACACTGTGAAAAGAAAGCAACATTCAAAGACCATAAGTACATTTCAAGCACACTTTTCCCTAAATGAAATAACACGAGGTCAACTGAATTTATCTTTTTATTTAAACAAAGGTATTCTTTGGGCAAACACATTCTGTTCAATCATCTTTTTCACATTGCTTCTGCAATCAATAACAGATGTTTATTTTGAAAATGCTCTCACCGCATTTAGAGCTGCTGTTTCAAGTGCTTTGTATTCATCGCTGTTGGAGTCAGTGAGGGCAGGTGAAAAAGCCACTTCTTTAAATTCTGCTGAGAGAATATAAGTGGGTTGAGGGGCTGCAGGTGTTGTTGTTGCTGTGGATGGTGTGGTTGTAGGTGGAGCAGTTGTAATCAGATCTGGAACTGGACTTGCTGTGAAACAAATTCATATTGAAAAGGATATGTTAGTACTAACCAAATGTTGAATTCACTGATCAGAAAGGACGATTCATTGTGATGTGTTAATTTACCTAATACTTTGACTGAAGCAGGGTTAATGCTCAGATTAGGACTATTGGTGGAATTATTCAGAGCTTCTACTAAGGTTTGAGCAACAACATAATTCTGTGGGAGATCTGCAATGGCAGTAGTCCCTTGGAACACAATCCCCACAGTTGCTTGAGTTTCGTTGTCTTTTGGTGGATTTAAGGCACTGTATCATAGAAAAGAGAGGAAGAAGTGTTATATTATAATATTAGATGATCCTGTTTCTTTTTTAAATAGGTGGTTATAACTTATGATTCCATCACGATTGGAAGTTACCAATGTTAAGTTCTCAACCCTTCATATAGAATTCAATCAGAGAAGCACACTTTGATTTTTCATTTACCTGAAGTTTTTCAAAATGCAGTGCGAAAACGTGTTTGGAAACATGCTTCTGTATTCATTGTTACACTGTGAAAAGAAAGCAACATTCAAAGACCATAAGTACATTTCAAGCACACTTTTCCCTAAATGAAATAACACCAGGTCATCTGAATTTATCTTTTTATTTAAAAAAAGTTGTTATTTTGGCAAGCACATTCTGTCCAATCATCTTTTTCACATTGCTTCTGCAATCAATAACAGATGTTTATTTTGAAAATGCTCTCACCGCATTTCGAGCTGTCGTTTCAAGTGCTTTGTATTCATCGCTGTTGGAGTCAGTGAGGGCAGGTGAAAAAGCCACTTCTTTAAATTCTGCTGAGAGAATATAAGTGGGTTCAGGGGCTGCAGGTGTTGTTGTTGCTGTGGATGGTGTGGTTGTAGGTGGAGCAGTTGTAATCTGATCTGGAACTGGACTTGCTGTGAAACAAATACATATTTAAAAGGATATGTTAGTACTAACCAAATGTTGAATTCACTGATCAGAAAGGACGATTCATTGTGATGTGTTAACTTACCTAATACTTTGACTGAAGCAGGGTTAATGCTCAGATTAGGACTATTGGTGGAATTATTCAGAGCTTCTACTAAGGTTTGAGCAACAACATAATTCTGTGGGAGATCTGCAATGGCAGTAGTCCCTTGGAACACAATCCCCACAGTTGCTTGAGTTTCGTTGTCTTTTGGTGGATTTAAGGCACTATATCATAGAAAAGAGAGGAAGAAGTGTTATACTATGACATGAGATGATCCTGTTTCTTTTTTAAATAGGTGGTTATAACTTATGATTCCATCTCGATTGGAAGTTACCAATGTTAAGTTCTCAACCCTTCATATAGAATTCAATCAGAGACGCACACTTTGATTTTTCATTTACCTGAAGTTTTTCAAAATGCAGTGGGAAAACGTGTTTGGAAACATGCTTCTGTATTCATTGTTACACTGTGAAAAGAAAACAACATTCAAAGACCATAAGTACATTTCAAGCACATTTTTTAACAATTGAAATTACACCAGGTCAACTGAATATATCTTTTTATTTAAACAAAGGTATTCTTTGGGAAAACACATTCTGTTCAATCATCTTTTTCACATTGATTCTGCAATCAATAACAGATGTTTATTTTGAAAATGCTCTCACCGCATTTCGAGCTGCTGTTTCAAGTGCTTTGTATTCATCGCTGTTGGAGTCAGTGAGGGCAGATGAAAAAGCCACTTCTTTAAATTCTGCTGAGAGAATATAAGTGGGTTCAGGGGCTGCAGGTGTTGTTGTTGCTTTGGATGGTGTGGTTGTAGGTGGAGCAGTTGTAATCGGATCTGGAACTGGACTTGCTGTGAAACAAATACATATGTTTCAGTTGAGTTCAGTTGCTGACTTATTTATGAACTGAACTTGAGCGGCACATTCTATTCCAAATGTATTTCAAATGATGATGGTACAATATTTTCTTGTGTTTACTTACCCAATACTATGACTGAAGCAGGATTAATGCTCAGGTTAGGAATATTGTTGGAATTACTCAGAGCTTCTACTAAGGTTTGAGCAACAATATCATTCTGTGGGAGATCTACAATGGCAGTAGTCCCATGGAACACAACCCCCACAGTTGCTTGAGTTTCAGACCCTTGTGGTGTATTTAAGGCACTGTAAAATAGAAGGGAAGGGGACAAGTATTATATTATGACTTGAGATGATTCTGTTGCCTTGTTTAATTTGTTCTTATGACACGATTAGGATTAGAGATACACAATTTAAGACTGAATTCTTGCATTTAGAGTTCAATCAGAGAAGCACTCTAGGAAAATCTTCTTACCTGAAGCTTTTCAAACGGCAGTCGGAAAACGTAGTTGGGAATTTGAGGCTGTATTTCTCGTTACACTGCAAAAGAAAGCAACATTCAAAGACCTTGATTATTGTTTAAGAACATTCTTTCTAAACAGATATGACAGTTGCAAAAACATTCTGTAAAATGCTTTTTTCACACCGCTATAATCAATCAATGGCAAATGCATATTTTGAAAATGCTCTTACCGCTTTTTGTATTGTTCCTTTAAGTGCTTTATATTCATCGCTGTTGGAGTTACTGAGGGCAGGTGAATAAGTCGGTCCTATCAGTTCTGCTGAGAGAATATAAGCCGTTTCTGATCCCACAGTGTTTGTTGCAACAGGTGTAGTTGGCGTGACAGTGTTAGGGTCTGCTGTCGTAGATGCTGCAGTTGAAAGTGCAGCTCTTGTTGTTGCTGATGTCATGGAAGTGCCAGTTGTAGGTGCTGCACTCGTCAGAGTAGCAGGGTTTTTTGCAACACTCGAAGGGGCTGCTGATGTGGGTGCATCAGTGGTTGCAAGCGGGGTAGTTGGTGCAGCACTTGTGGGTGCTGCTGTTTTAGGTGCGGTCGTTGATGGATTGCTTGTTGTAGGTGAGGCAGTTGTAGCTGCTACAGTGGTAGGTGATGCAGTCGTAGGAGCCTCGGTTGTAGGTGTGGCCGTCGTTGGATTGCTTGTTGTAGGTGAGATAGTTGTAGCTGCTTCTGTTGTAAGTGCTGCAGTTGTTGGACCAACAGTGGCAGGTGCTGCAGTCGTAGGAGCCTCGGTTGTTGGTGCAAGTGTTGTAGGGGCTGTAGTTGTAGGAGCAATAGTGGTAGGAGTTGCTGTTGTGGTTGCAGCTGTTGTAGGTTTGGCTGTCGTTTGAGCGCCGGTTGTAGGTGAGGCCGTTGTAGGTGCTGCTGTTGTAGGTGCTGCAGTTGTAGAAGCAACAGTGGCAGGGGCTGTAGTTGTAGGAGCAATAGTGGTAGGGGCTGCTGTTGTGGTTGATGCTGTTGTAGGTGCAGCAGTTGTAGGTTTGGCAGTCGTTTGAACGCCGGTTGTAGGTGAGGCAGTTGTAGGTGCTGCAGTTGTAGCAGCAACAGTTGTCGGTGCAGCTGTTGTAGGGGCTCCAGTCGTAGGCGCTAATGTTGTAGGAGCCATATTAGTAGGAGCTGCAGTTGTTGGTGCAGCTGTTGTAGGTTTTGCTGTCGTTTGAGCGCCGGTTGTAGGTGAGGCAGTTGTAGGTGCTGCACTTGTAGCAGCAACAGTGGTAGGTGCTGCAGTCGTAGGGGCCTCGGTTGTAGGTACGGCCGTCGTAGGAGCCGCAGTTGTAGGAGCGACTGTGGTAGGTGTGGCAGTCGTAGGAGCTGCAGTTGTAGGTGCGGTCGTCGTTGGATTGCTTGTTGTAGGTGAGGCAGTTGTAGCTGCTGCTGTTATAATTGCTGCATTTGTTGGACCAACAGTGGTAGGTGCTGCAGTCGTAGGAGTTGCAGTTGTCTGTGCTTCAGTTGTGGGTGCAGCTGTTGTAGGGGCTCCAGTCGTAGGTGCTAATGTTGTAGGAGCCATAGTGGTAGGAGCTGCAGTTGTTGGTGCAGCTGTTGTAGGTTTGGCAGTAGTTTGAGCGCCGGTTGTAGGTGACGCAGTTGTAGGTGCTGCAGTTGTAGCAGCAACAGTTGTCGGTGCAGCTGTTGTAGGTTTGGCAGTAGTTTGAGCGCCGGTTGTAGGTGCTGCTGTTGTAGGTGCTGCAGTTGTAGCAGCAACAGTTGTCGGTGCAGCTGTTGTAGGTTTGGCAGTAGATTGAGCGCCGGTTGTAGGTGAGGCAGTTGTAGGTGCTGCAGTTGTAGGGGCTCCAGTCGTAGGTGCTAATGTTGTAGGAGCTGCAGTTGTTGATGCAGCTGTTGTAGGTTTGGCTGTCGTTTGAGCGCCGGTTGTAGGTGAGGCAGTTGTTGATGCTGCAGTCGTAGGAACCTCGGTTGTTGGTGCAAGTGTTGTAGGGGCTGTAGTTGTAGGAGCGATAGTGGTAGGGGCTTCTGTTGTCGTTGCTGCAGTCGTAGGAGTTGCAGTTGTTTGTGCTTCAGTTGTGGGTGCAGCTGTTGAAGGGGCTCCAGTCGTAGGTACTAATGTTGTAGGGACCATAGTGGCAGTAGCTGCAGTTGTTGGTGCAGCTGTTGTAGGTTTGGCAGTAGTTTGAGCACCGGTTGTAGGTGAGGCAGTTGTAGGTGCTGCTGTCGTAGGTGCTGCAGTTGTAGCAGCAACAGTTGTCGGTGCAGCTGTTGTAGGGGCTCCAGTCGTAGGCGCTAATGTTGTAGGAGCCATAGTAGTAGGAGCTGCAGTTGTTGGTGCAGCTGTTGTAGGTTTTGCTGTCGTTTGAGCGCCGGTTGTAGGTGAGGCAGTTGTAGGTGCTGCACTGGTAGCAGCAACAGTGGTAGGTGCTGCAGTCGTAGGAGCCTCGGTTGTAGGTGCGGCCGTCGTAGGAGCCGCAGTTGTAGGAGCGGTTGGATTGCTTGTTGTAGGTGAGGCAGTTGTAGCTGCTGCTGTTATAATTGCTGCATTTGTTGGACCAACAGTGGTAGGTGCTGCAGTCGTAGGAGTTGCAGTTGTCTGTGCTTCAGTTGTGGGTGCAGCTGTTGTAGGGGCTCCAGTCGTAGGTGTTAATGTTGTAGGAGCTGCAGTTGTTGGTGCAGCTGTTGTAGGTTTGGCTGTCGTTTGAGCGCCAGTTGTAGGTGAAGCAGTTGTAGGTGCTGCAGTTTTAGCAGCAACAGTGGTAGGTGCTGCAGTCGTAGGAGCCTCGGTTATAGGTACGGCCGTCGTAGGATCCGCAGTTGTTTGTGCTTCAGTTGTGGGTGCAGCTGTTGTAGGGGCTCCAGTCGTAGGTGCTAATGTTGTAGGAGCCATAGGGGTAGGAGCTGCAGTTGTTGGTGCAGCTGTTGTAGGTTTGGCAGTAGTTTGAGCGCCGGTTGTAGGTGAGTCAGTTGTAGGTGCTGCAGTTGTAGCAGCAACAGTTGTCGGTGCTGCTGTTGTTGTTGCAACAGTAGTAGGGGCTGCAGTTGTGGGTGTAGCAGTAGTTTTAGGTTGCACTGTTGTCAGAGCAGCAGTAGTTGTAGGTGCTGCTTTTGTTTTTACAACAGTAGTAGGGAATGCAGTTGTAGGTGTAGCAGTAGTTGTAGGTGATGCTGTTGTTGTTGCAACAGTAGTAGGTGCTGCTGTCGTAGGTGCAGCAGTAGTTGTAGGTTGCAGTGTTGTTGGAGCAGCAGTAGTTGTAGGTGCTGCTGTTGTTGTTGCAACAGTAGTAGGGGCTGCAGTTGTAGGTGCAGCAGTAGTTGTAGGTGCTGCTGTTGTTGTTGCAACAGTTGTAGGTACTGCTGTTGTTGTTGCAACAGTAGTAGGGGCTGCTGTTGTAGGAGCAGCAGTAGATGTAGGTGCTGTTGTTGTTGTTACAACAGTAGTAGGTGCTGCTGTTGTTGTTGCAACAGTAGTAGGGGCTGCAGTTGTAGGTGCAGCAGTAGTTGTATGTGCTGCTGTTGTTGTTGCAACAGTAGTAGGTGCTGTTGTCGTAGGTGCAGCAGTAGTAGGGGCTGCAGTTGTAGGAGCAGCAGTAGTTGTAGGTGCTGCTGTTGTTGTTGCAACAGTAGTAGGGGCTGCAGATTTAGGTGAAGCAGTAGTTGTAGGTTGCACCATTGTTGGAGCAGCAGTAGTTGTAGGTGCTGCTGCTGTTGTTGCAACAGTAGTAGGGGCTGCAGTTGTAGGTGTAGCAGTAGTTGTAGGTTGCACCGTTGTCGGAGCAGCAGTAGTTGTAGGTGCTGCTGCTGTTGTTGCAACAGTAGTAGGGGCTGCAGTTGTAGGTGTAGTAGTAGTTGTAGGTTGCACCGTTGTCGGAGCAGCAGTAGTTGTAGGTGCTGTTGTTGTTGCAATAGTAGTAGGGGCTGCAGTTGTAGGTGAAGCAGTAGTTGTAGGTTGCACCGTTGTCGGAGCAGCAGTAGTTGTAGGTGCTGCTGTTGTTGCAACAGTAGTAGGGGCTGCAGTTGTAGGTGTAGCAGTAGTTGTAGGTTGCACCGTTGTCGGAGCAGCAGTAGTTGTAGGTGCTGCTGTTGTTGTTGCAACAGTAGTAGGGGCTGCAGTTGTAGGTGTAGCAGTAGTTGTAGGCTGCACCGTTGTCGGAGCAGCAGTAGTTGTAGGTGCTGTTGTTGTTGCAACAGTAGTAGGGGCTGCAGTTGTAGGTGAAGCAGTAGTTGTAGGTTGCACCGTTGTCGGAGCAGCAGTAGTTGTAGGTGCTGTTGTTGTTGCAACAGTAGTAGGGGCTGCAGTTGTAGGTGTAGCAGTAGTTGTAGGTTGCACCGTTGTCGGGGCAGCAGTAGTTGTAGGTGCTGTTGTTGTTGCAACAGTAGTAGGGGCTGCTGTTGTAGGTGCAGCAGTAGTTGTAGGTGCTGCTGTTGTTGTTGCAACAGTTTTAGGTGCTGCTGTTGTTGTTGCAACAGTAGTAGGGGCTGCTGTTGTAGGTGCAGCAGTAGTTGTAGGTGCTGCTGTTGTTGTTACAACAGTAGTAGGTGCTGCTGTTGTTGTTGCAACAGTAGTAGGGGCTGCAGTTGTAGGTGAAGCAGTAGTTGTAGGTTGCACCGTTGTCGGAGCAGCAGTAGTTGTAGGTGCTGCTGTTGTTTTTGCAACAGTAGTAGGGGCTGCTGTTGTAGGTGTAGCAGTAGTTGTAGGTGCTGCTGTTGTTGTTACAATTGTAGTAGGTGCTGCTGTTGTTGTTGCAACAGTAGTAGGGGCTGCAGTTGTAGGAGCAGCAGTAGTTGTAGGCTGCACCGTTGTCGGAGCAGCAGTAGTTGTAGGTGCTGTTGTTGTTGCAACAGTAGTAGGGGCTGCAGTTGTAGGAGCAGCAGTAGTTGTAGGTGCTGCTGTTGTTGTTGCAACAGTAGTAGGGGCTGCAGATGTAGGTGAAGCAGTAGTTGTAGGTTGCACCATTGTTGGAGCAGCAGTAGTTGTAGGTGCTGCTGCTGTTGTTGCAACAGTAGTAGGGGCTGCAGTTGTAGGTGTAGCAGTAGTTGTAGGTTGCACCGTTGTCGGAGCAGCAGTAGTTGTAGGTGCTGTTGTTGTTGCAATAGTAGTAGGGGCTGCAGTTGTAGGTGAAGCAGTAGTTGTAGGTTGCACCGTTGTCGGAGCAGCAGTAGTTTTAGGTGCTGCTGTTGTTGCAACAGTAGTAGGGGGCTGCAGTTGTAGGTGTAGCAGTAGTTGTAGGTTGCACCGTTGTCGGAGCAGCAGTAGTTGTAGGTGCTGCTGTTGTTGTTGCAACAGTATTAGGGGCTGCAGTTGTAGGTGTAGCAGTAGTTGTAGGCTGCACCGTTGTCGGAGCAGCAGTAGTTGTAGGTGCTGTTGTTGTTGCAACAGTAGTAGGGGCTGCAGTTGTAGGTGTAGCAGTAGTTGTAGGTTCCACCGTTGTCGGAACAGCAGTAGTTGTAGGTGCTGCTGTTGTTGTTGCAACAGTAGTAGGGGCTGCAGTTGTAGGTGTAGCTGTAGTTGTAGGTTGCACCGTTGTCGGAACGGCAGTAGTTGTAGGTGCTGTTGTTGTTGCAACAGTAGTAGGGGCTGCTGTTGTAGGTGCAGCAGTAGTTGTAGGTGCTGCTGTTGTTGTTGCAACAGTTTTAGGTGCTGCTGTTGTTGTTGCAACAGTAGTAGGGGCTGCTGTTGTAGGTGCAGCAGTAGTTGTAGGTGCTGCTGTTGTTGTTACAACAGTAGTAGGTGCTGCTGTTGTTGTTGCAACAGTAGTAGGGGCTGCAGTTGTAGGTGAAGCAGTAGTTGTAGGTTGCACCGTTGTCGGAGCAGCAGTAGTTGTAGGTGCTGCTGTTGTTTTTGCAACAGTAGTAGGGGCTGCTGTTGTAGGTGCAGCAGTAGTTGTAGGTGCTGCTGTTGTTGTTACAATTGTAGTAGGTGCTGCTGTTGTTGTTGAAACAGTAGTAGGGGCTGCAGTTGTAGGTGCAGCAGTAGTTGTAGGTGCTGCTGTTGTTGTTGCAACAGTAGTAGGTGCTGCTGTCGTAGGTGCAGCAGTAGTTGTAGGTTGCAGTGTTGTTGTTGGAGCAGCAGTAGTTGTAGGTGCTGCTGTTGTTGTTGTTGCAACAGTAGTAGGGGCTGCAGTTGTAGGTTTAGCAGTAGTTGTAGGTTGCACCGTTGTCGGAGCAGCAGTAGTTGTAGGTGCTGCTGTTGTTGTTGCAACAGTAGTAGGGGCTGCAGTTGTAGGTGCAGCAGTAGTTGTAGATGATGCTGTTGATGTTGCAACAGTAGTAGGTGCTGCTGTCGTAGGTGCAGCAGTAGTTGTAGGTTGCAGTGTTGTTTGAGCAGCAGTAGTTGCAGGTGCTGCTGTTGTTGTTGCAACAGTAGTAGGGGCTGCAGTTGTAGGTGCAGCAGTAGTTGTAGGTGCTGCTGTTGTTGTTGCAACAGTAGTAGGGGCTGCAGTTGTAGGTGAAGCAGAAGTTGTAGGTGGCACCGTTGTCGGAACAGCAGTAGTTGTAGGTGCTGCTGTTGTTGTTGTTGCAAAAGTAGTAGGGGCTGCAGTTGTAGGTTTAGCAGTAGTTGTAGGTTGCACCGTTGTCGGAGCAGCAGTAGTTGTAGGTGCTGCTGTTGTTGTTGCAACAGTAGTAGGGGCTGCAGTTGTAGGTGCAGCAGTAGTTGTAGATGATGCTGTTGATGTTGCAACAGTAGTAGGTGCTGCTGTCGTAGGTGCAGCAGTAGTTGTAGGTTGCAGTGTTGTTTGAGCAGCAGTAGTTGCAGGTGCTGCTGTTGTTGTTGCAACATTAGTAGGGGCTGCAGTTGTAGGTGAAGCAGTAGTTGTAGGTTGCACCGTTGTCGGAGCAGCAGTAGTTGTAGGTGCTGCTGTTGTTGTTTCAACAGTAGTAGGGGCTGCAGTTGTAGGTGCAGCAGTAGTTGTAGGTGATGCTGTTGTTGTTGCAGCAGTAGTTGTAGGTTGCAGTGTTGTTGGAGCAGCAGTAGTTGTAGGTGCTGCTGTTGTTGTTGCAACAGTAGTAGGGGCTGCAGTTGTAGGTGAAGCAGTAGTTGTAGGTTGCACCGTTGTCGGAGCAGCAGTAGTTGTAGGTGCTGCTGTTGTTGTTGCAACAGTAGTAGGGGCTGCAGTTGTAGGTGCAGCAGTAGTTGTAGGTGCTGCTGTTGTTGTTGCAACAGTTGTAGGTGCTGCTGTTGTTTTTGCAACAGTAGTAGGGGCTGCTGTTGTAGGTGCAGCAGTAGTTGTAGGTGCTGCTGTTGTTGTTGCAACAGTAGTAGGGGCTGCAGTTGTAGGTGAAGCAGTAGTTGTAGGTTGCACCGTTGTCGGAGCAGCAGTAGTTGTAGGTGCTGTTGTTGTTGCAACAGTAGTAGGGGCTGCAGTTGTAGGTGTAGCAGTAGTTGTAGGTTCCACCGTTGTCGGAACAGCAGTAGTTGTAGGTGCTGCTGTTGTTGTTGCAACAGTAGTAGGGGCTGCAGTTGTAGGTGTAGCTGTAGTTGTAGGTTGCACCGTTGTCGGAACGGCAGTAGTTGTAGGTGCTGTTGTTGTTGCAACAGTAGTAGGGGCTGCTGTTGTAGGTGCAGCAGTAGTTGTAGGTGCTGCTGTTGTTGTTGCAACAGTTTTAGGTGCTGCTGTTGTTGTTGCAACAGTAGTAGGGGCTGCTGTTGTAGGTGCAGCAGTAGTTGTAGGTGCTGCTGTTGTTGTTGCAACAGTAGTAGGTGCTGCTGTTGTTGTTGCAACAGTAGTAGGGGCTGCAGTTGTAGGTGAAGCAGTAGTTGTAGGTTGCACCGTTGTCGGAGCAGCAGTAGTTGTAGGTGCTGCTGTTGTTTTTGCAACAGTAGTAGGGGCTGCTGTTGTAGGTGCAGCAGTAGTTGTAGGTGCTGCTGTTGTTGTTACAATTGTAGTAGGTGCTGCTGTTGTTGTTGAAACAGTAGTAGGGGCTGCAGTTGTAGGTGCAGCAGTAGTTGTAGGTGCTGCTGTTGTTGTTGCAACAGTAGTAGGTGCTGCTGTCGTAGGTGCAGCAGTAGTTGTAGGTTGCAGTGTTGTTGTTGGAGCAGCAGTAGTTGTAGGTGCTGCTGTTGTTGTTGTTGCAACAGTAGTAGGGGCTGCAGTTGTAGGTGTAGCAGTAGTTGTAGGTTGCACCGTTGTCGGAGCAGCAGTAGTTGTAGGTGCTGCTGTTGTTGTTGCAACAGTAGTAGGGGCTGCAGTTGTAGGTGCAGCAGTAGTTGTAGATGATGCTGTTGATGTTGCAACAGTAGTAGGTGCTGCTGTCGTAGGTGCAGCAGTAGTTGTAGGTTGCAGTGTTGTTTGAGCAGCAGTAGTTGCAGGTGCTGCTGTTGTTGTTGCAACAGTAGTAGGGGCTGCAGTTGTAGGTGCAGCAGTAGTTGTAGGTGCTGCTGTTGTTGTTGCAACAGTAGTAGGGGCTGCAGTTGTAGGTGAAGCAGTAGTTGTAGGTGGCACCGTTGTCGGAACAGCAGTAGTTGTAGGTGCTGCTGTTGTTGTTGTTGCAACAGTAGTAGGGGCTGCAGTTGTAGGTTTTAGCAGTAGTTGTAGGTTGCACCGTTGTCGGGAGGCAGCATAGTTGTAGGTGCTGCTGTTGTTGTTGCAACAGTAAGTAGGGGCTTGCAGTTGTAGGTTGCAGCAGTAGTGGTAGATGATGCTGTTGATGTTGCAACAGTAGTAGGTGCTGCTGTCGTAGGTGCCGCATAAGTTGGTAGGTTGCAGTGTTGTTTGAGCAGCAGTAGTTGCAAGGTGCTGCTGTTGTTGTTGCAACATTAGTAGGGGGCTGCAGTTGTAGGTGAAGCAGTAGTTGTAGGTTGGCAACCGTTGTTCCGGAGCAGCAGTAGTTGTAGGTGCTGGCCTGTTGTTGTTTCAAACAGTAGTAGGGGCTGCAGTTGTTACGGTGCAGTGCATGTAGTTGTAGGTGATGCTGTTGTTGTTGCAGCATTAGTTGTAGGTTGCAGGTTGTTGGAGCAAGCAGTATTTGTAAGGTGCTGCCTGTTGTTGTTGCTACAGTAGTAGGGGCCGCAGTTGTAGGTGAAGCATTAGTTGTAGGTTGCACCGTAGTCGGAGCAGTAGTAGTTGTAGGTGCTGCTGTTGTTGTTGCAACAGTAGTAGGGGCTGCAGTTGTAGGTGCAGCAGTAGTTGTAGGTCTGCCCTGTTGTAGGTGCAAGCGTTGTAGGTGCTGTTGTTGTTGCAACAGTAGTAGGGGCTGCAGTTGTAGGTGAAGCAGTAGTTGTAGGTTGCACCGTTGTAGGTGCAGCAGTAGTTGTAGGTGCTGTTGTTGTTGCAACAGTACTAGGGGCTGCAGTTGTAGGTGAAGCAGTAGTTGTAGGTTGCACCGTAGTCGGAGCAGCAGTAGTTGTAGGTGCTGCTGTTGTTGTTGCAACAGTAGTAGGGGCTGCAGTTGTAGGTGAAGCAGTAGTTGTAGGTTGCACCGTTGTAGGTGCAGCAGTAGTTGTAGGTGCTGTTGTTGTTGCAACAGTAGTAGGGGCTGCAGTTGTAGGTGAAGCAGTAGTTGTAGGTTGCACCGTTGTCGGTGTAGCAGTAGTTGTAGGTGCTGTTGTTGTTGCAACAGTAGTAGGGGCTGCAGTTGTAGGTGAAGCAGTAGTTATCGGTTGCACCGTAGTCGGAGCAGCAGTAGTTGTAGGTGCTGCTGTTGTTGTTGCAACAGTAGTAGGGGCTGCAGTTGTAGGTGCAGCAGTAGTTGTAGCTGCAGCAGTAGTTGTAGGTGCTGCTGTTGTTGTTGCAACAGTTGTAGGTGCTGCTGTTGTTGTTGCAACAGTAGTAGGGGCTGCTGTTGTAGGTGCAGCAGTAGTAGGGGCTGCAGTTGTAGGTGAAGCAGTAGTTGTAGGTTGCACCGTTGTCGGAGCAGCAGTAGTTGTAGATGCTGTTGTTGTTGCAACAGTAGTAGGGGCTGCAGTTGTAGGTGAAGCAGTAGTTGTAGGTTGCACCATTGTTGGAGCAGCAGTAGTTGTAGGTGCAGCAGTAGTTGTAGGTGCTGCTGTTGTTGTTGCAACAGTTATAGGTGCTGCTGTTGTTGTTGCAACAGTAGTAGGGGCTGCAGTTGTAGGTGCAGCAGTAGTTGTAGCTGCAGCAGTAGTTGTAGGTGCTGCTGTTGTTGTTGCAACAGTTATAGGTGCTGCTGTTGTAGGTGCAGCAGTAGTTGTAGGTTGCACCGTTGTCGGAGCAGCAGTAGTTGTAGGTGCTGTTGTTGTTGCAACAGTAGTAGGGGCTGCAGTTGTAGGTGAAGCAGTAGTTGTAGGTTGCACCGTTGTCGGGGCAGCAGTAGTTGTAGGTGCTGTTGTTGTTGCAACAGTAGTACGGGCTGCAGTTGTAGGTGAAGCAGTAGTTGTAGGTTGCACCGTAGTCGGAGCAGCAGTAGTTGTAGGTGCTGCTGTTGTTGTTGCAACAGTAGTAGGGGCTGCAGTTGTGGGTGAAGCAGTAGTTGTAGGTTGCACCGTTGTCGGAGGAGCAGTAGTTGTAGGTTGCACCGTAGTCGGAGCAGCAGTAGTTGTAGATGCTGCTGTTGTTGTTGCAACAGTAGTAGGGGCTGCAGTTGTAGGTGAAGCAGTAGTTGTAGGTTGCACCGTAGTCGGAGCAGCAGTAGTTGTAGGTGCTGCTGTTGTTGTTGCAACATTAGTAGGGGCTGCAGTTGTAGGTGCAGCAGTAGTTGTAGGTGCATCAGTAGTTGTAGGTGATGCTGTTGTTGTTGCAACAGTTGTAGGTGCTGCTGTTGTTGTTGCAACAGTAGTAGGGGCTGCTGTAGTAGGGGCTGCAGTTGTAGGTGAAGCAGTAGTTGTAGGTTGCACCGTTGTCGGAGCAGCAGTAGTTGTAGGTTGCACCGTAGTCGGAGCAGCAGTAGTTGTAGGTTGCACCGTAGTCGGATCAGCAGTAGTTGTAGGTGCTGCTGTTGTTGTTGTAACAGTAGTAGGGGCTGCAGTTGTAGGTGCAGCAGTAGTTGTAGCTGCAGCAGAAGTTGTAGGTGCTGCTGTTGTTGTTGCAACAGTTGTAGGTGCTGCTGTTGTTGTTGCAACAGTAGTAGGGGCTGCTGTTGTAGGTGCAGCAGTAGTAGGGGCTGCAGTTGTAGGTGAAGCAGTAGTTGTAGGTTGCACCGTTGTCGGAGCAGCAGTAGTTGTAGGTTGCACCGTAGTCGGAGCAGCAGTAGTTGTAGGTGCAGCAGTAGTTGTAGGTGAAGCAGTAGTAGGGGCTGCAGTTGTAGGTGAAGCAGCAGTAGTAGGTGAAGCAGTAGTTGTAGGTTGCACCGTTGTCGGAGCAGCAGTAGTTGTAGGTGCTGTTGTTGTTGCAACAGTAGTAGGGGCTGCAGTTGTAGGTGAAGCAGTAGTTGTAGGTTCCACCGTTGTCGGAGCAGCAGTAGTTGTAGGTTGCACCGTAGTCGGAGCAGCAGTAGTTGTAGGTGCAGCAGTAGTTGTAGGTGCTGTTGTTGTTGCAACAGTAGTAGGGGCTGCAGTTGTAGGTGAAGCAGTAGTTGTAGGTTGCACCGTTGTCGGAGCAGCAGTAGTTGTAGGTTGCACCGTAGTCGGAGCAGCAGTAGTTGTAGGTGCTGCTGTTGTTGTTGCAACAGTTGTAGGTGCTGCTGTTGTTGTTGCAACAGTAGTAGGGGCTGCTGTTGTAGGTGCAACAGTAGTAGGGGCTGCAGTTGTAGGTGAAGCAGTAGTTGTAGGTTGCACCGTTGTCGGAGCAGTAGTAGTTGTAGATGCTGTTGTTGTTGCAACAGTAGTAGGGGCTGCAGTTGTAGGTGAAGCAGTAGTTGTAGGTTGCACCGTTGTCGGAGCAGCAGTAGTTGTAGGTGCAGCAGTAGTTGTAGCTGCAGCAGTAGTTGTAGGTGCTGCTGTTGTTGTTGCAACAGTTGTAGGTGCTGCTGTTGTTGTTGCAACAGTAGTAGGGGCTGCTGTTGTAGGTGCACCAGTAGTAGGGGCTGCAGTTGTAGGTGAAGCAGTAGTTGTAGGTTGCACCGTTGTCAGAGCAGCAGTAGTTGTAGGTGCTGTTGTTGTTGCAACAGTAGTAGGGGCTGCAGTTGTAGGTGAAGCAGTAGTTGTAGGTTGCACCGTTGTCGGAGCAGCAGTAGTTGTAGGTGCAGCAGTAGTTGTAGGTGCTGTTGTTGTTGCAACAGTAGTAGGGGCTGCAGTTGTAGGTGAAGCAGTAGTTGTAGGTTGCACCGTTGTCGGAGCAGCAGTAGTTGTAGGTTGCACCGTAGTCGGAGCAGCAGTAGTTGTAGGTGCTGCTGTTGTTGTTGCAACAGTTGTAGGTGCTGCTGTTGTTGTTGCAACAGTAGTAGGGGCTGCTGTTGTAGGTGCAGCAGTAGTAGGGGCTGCAGTTGTAGGTGAAGCAGTAGTTGTAGGTTGCACCGTTGTCGGAGCAGTAGTAGTTGTAGATGCTGTTGTTGTTGCAACAGTAGTAGGGGCTGCAGTTGTATGTGAAGCAGTAGTTGTAGGTTGCACCGTTGTCGGAGCAGCAGTAGTTGTAGGTGCAGCAGTAGTTGTAGGTGCTGTTGTTGTTGCAACAGTAGTAGGGGCTGCAGTTGTAGGTGCAGCAGTAGTGGGGGCTGCAGTTGTAGGTGAAGCAGCAGTTGTAGGTGAAGCAGTAGTTGTAGGTTGCACCGTTGTCGGAGCAGCAGTAGTTGTAGGTGCTGTTGTTGTTGCAACAGTAGTAGGGGCTGCAGTTGTAGGTGAAGCAGTAGTTGTAGGTTGCACCGTTGTCGGAGCAGCAGTAGTTGTAGGTGCAGCAGTAGTTGTAGGTGCTGTTGTTGTTGCAATAGTAGTAGGGGCTGCAGTTGTAGGTGAAGCAGTAGTTGTAGGTTGCACCGTTGTGGGAGCAGCAGTAGTTGTAGGTTGCACCGTAGTCGGAGCAGCAGTAGTTGTAGGTGCTGCTGTTGTTGTTGCAACAGTAGTAGGGGCTGTAGTTGTAGGTGCAGCAGTAGTTGTAGCTGCAGCAGTAGTTGTAGGTGCTGCTGTTGTTGTTGCAACAGTTGTAGGTGCTGCTGTTGTTGTTGCAACAGTAGTAGGGGCTGCTGTTGTAGGTGCAGCAGTAGTAGGGGCTGCAGTTGTAGGTGAAGCAGTAGTTGTAGGTTGCACCGTTGTCGGAGCAGCAGTAGTTGTAGGTGCTGTTGTTGTTGCAACAGTAGTAGGGGCTGCAGTTGTAGGTGAAGCAGTAGTTGTAGGTTGCACCGTTGTCGGAGCAGCAGTAGTTGTAGGTGCAGCAGTAGTTGTAGGTGCTGTTGTTGTTGCAATAGTAGTAGGGGCTGCAGTTGTAGGTGAAGCAGTAGTTGTAGGTTGCACCGTTGTGGGAGCAGCAGTAGTTGTAGGTTGCACCGTAGTCGGAGCAGCAGTAGTTGTAGGTGCTGCTGTTGTTGTTGCAACAGTAGTAGGGGCTGTAGTTGTAGGTGCAGCAGTAGTTGTAGCTGCAGCAGTAGTTGTAGGTGCTGCTGTTGTTGTTGCAACAGTTGTAGGTGCTGCTGTTGTTGTTGCAACAGTAGTAGGGGCTGCTGTTGTAGGTGCAGCAGTAGTAGGGGCTGCAGTTGTAGGTGAAGCAGTAGTTGTAGGTTGCACCGTTGTCGGAGCAGTAGTAGTTGTAGATGCTGTTGTTGTTGCAACAGTAGTAGGGGCTGCAGTTGTAGGTGAAGCAGTAGTTGTAGGTTGCACCGTTGTCGGAGCAGCAGTAGTTGTAGGTGCTGCTGTTGTTGTTGCAACAGTAGTAGGGGCTGCAGTTGTAGGTGCAGCTGTAGTTGTAGCTGCAGCAGTAGTTGTAGGTGCTGCTGTTGTTGTTGCAACAGTTATAGGTGCTGCTGTTGTTGTTGCAACAGTAGTAGGGGCTGCTGTTGTAGGTGCAGCAGTAGTTGTAGGTTGCACCGTTGTTGGAGCAGCAGTAGTTGTAGGTGCTGCTGTTGTTGTTGCAACAGTAGTAGGGGCTGCAGTTGTAGGTGACGCAGAAGTTGTAGGTTGCACCGTTGTCAGAGCAGCAGTAGTTGTAGGTGCTGCTGTTGTTGTTGCAACAGTAGTAGGTGCTGCTGTCGTAGGTGAAGCAGTAGTCGTAGGTTGCACCGTTGTCGGAACAGCAGTAGTTGTAGGTGCTGCTGTTGTTGTTGCAACAGTAGTAGGGGCTGCAGTTGTAGGTGAAGCAGTAGTTGTAGGTTGCACCGTTGTTGGAGCAGCAGTAGTTGTAGGTGCTGCTGTTGTTGTTGCAACAGTAGTAGGGGCTGCTGTTGCAGGTGCAGCAGTAGTTGTAGGTGCTGCTGCTGTTGTTGTTACAACAGTAGTAGGTGCGGCTGTCGTAGGTGAAACAGTAGTTGTAGGTTGCACCGTTGTCAGAGCAGCAGTAGTTGTAGGTGCTGCTGTTGTTGTTGCAACAGTAGTAGGGGCTGCAGTTGTAGGTGCAGCAGTAGTTGTAGGTTGCACCGTTGTCGGAGCAGCAGTAGTTGTAGGTGCTGCTGTTGTTGTTGCAACAGTAGTAGGGGCTGCTGTCGTAGGTGTAGCAGTAGTTGTAGGTTGCACCGTTGTCGGAGCAGCAGTAGTTGTAGGTGCTGCTGTTGTTGTTGCAACAGTTGTAGGTGCTGCTGTTGTTGTTGCAACAGTAGTAGGGGCTGCTGTTGTAGGTGCAGCAGTAGTTGTAGGTGCTGCTTTTGTTGTTGCAACAGTAGTAGGTGCTGCTGTCGTAGGTGCAGCAGTAGTTGTAGGTTGCAGTGTTGTTGGAGCAGCAGTAGTTGTAGGTGCTGCTGTTGTTGTTGCAACAGTAGTAGGTGCTGCAGTTGTAGGTGTAGCAGTAGTTGTAGGTTGCACCGTTGTTGGAGCAGCAGTATTTGTAGGTGCTGCTGTTGTTGTTGCAACAGTTGTAGGTGCTGCTGTTGTTGTTGCAACAGTAGTAGGGGCTGCTGTTGTTGTTGCAACAGTTGTAGGTGCTGCTGTTGTAGGTGCAGCAGTAGTTGTAGGTGCTGCTGTTGTTGTTGCAACAGTTGTAGGTGCTGCTGTTGTAGGTGCAGCAGTAGTTGTAGGTGCTGCTGTTGTTATTGCAACAGTTGTAGGTGCTGCTGTTGTAGGTGCAGCAGTAGTTGTAGGTGCTGCTGTTGTTGTTGCAACAGTAGTAGGGGCTGCAGTTGTTGGCGCAGCAGTAGTTGTAGGTGCTGCTGTTGTTGTTGCAACAGTTGTAGGTGCTGCTGTTGTAGGTGCAGCAGTAGTTGTAGGTGCTGCTGTTGTTGTTGCAACAGTAGTAGGGGCTGCAGTTGTAGGTGTAGCAGTAGTTGTAGGTTGCACCGTTGTCGGAGCAGCAGTAGTTGTAGGTGCTGCTGTTGTTGTTGCAACAGTTGTAGGTGCTGCTGTTGTAGTTGCAACAGTAGTAGGTGCAGCAGTAGTTGTAGGTTGCAGTGTTGTAGGAGCAGCAGTAGTTGTAGGTGCTGCTGTTGTTGTTGCAACAGTAGTAGGGGCTGCAGTTGTAGGTGAAGCAGAAGTTGTAGGTGGCACCGTTGTCAGAGCAGCAGTAGTTGTAGGTGCTGCTGTTGTTGTTGCAACAGTAGTAGGTGCTGCTGTCGTAGGTGAAGCAGTAGTTGTAGGTTGCACCGTTGTCAGAGCAGCAGTAGTTGTAGGTGCTGCTGTTGTTGTTGCAACAGTAGTAGGTGCTGCTGTCGTAGGTGCAGCAGTAGTTGTAGGTTGCAGTGTTGTTGGAGCAGCAGTAGTTGTAGGTGCTGCTGTTGTTGTTGCAACAGTAGTAGGGGCTGCAGTTGTAGGTGAAGCAGAAGTTGTAGGTGGCACCGTTGTCAGAGCAGCAGTAGTTGTAGGTGCTGCTGTTGTTGTTGCAACAGTAGTAGGTGCTGCTGTCGTAGGTGAAGCAGTAGTTGTAGGTTGCACCGTTGTTGGAGCAGCAGTAGTTGTAGGTGCTGTTGTTGTTGCAACAGTAGTAGGGGCTGCAGTTGTAGGTGAAGCAATAGTTGTAGGTTGCACCGTTGTCGGAGCAGCTGTAGTTGTAGGTGCTGCTGTTGTTGTTGCAACACCAGTTGTGCTTTGTGCTGTTGTTGTTCTAGTAGCTTATAGTTCCCAAAAAATTATGATATTTAAAAAACATATTTAGCCTATCTTTTTGTGCTAATAGTGTTACAAAGTGAATAATTTACTCAGCTTACCTGTTAGAATCAGGAAAACTGTTATGATCCGGCCAACACCCATCCTGTCTGCCTTTGGATCTATAAAATCAAACAACACAGATATTCCACATTAATGTTTGAGGCATTGTTTTTTCCATTTTTCTCTTTTTTCTGGGCGTAACCTTGCAGTCCAAAGGTAAAATTTGTTAACTTTATGAACGCCGCAGCGCATGCAGCTTCTCATGTGATGAGTAACAACCAATCATAGCAACAAGTTCCTTTATTTCTGAAATATTAGTATACAGCAAATATTGAGGAGAAGTTGTTTAATTCAGAACGCCGCCGCTCGAGTCCTCACTAACACTAAGAAAGTGGATCACATCACTCCTGTTCTGAAGTCCTTACACTGGCTTCCTGTGTGTCAAAGAATAGATTTCAAAATGTTGTTGCTGGTTTATAAAGCTTTGAATGGTTTAGGCCCTAAATACATTTCTGACCTCCTGCTAAATTATGAACCATCCAGATCTCTCAGGTCTTCAGGGACTGGTCAGCTCTCTGTCCCCAGAGTCAGAACTAAACATGGTAAAGCAGCATTCAGTTATTATGCTCCAAATATCTGGAACAAACTCCCAGAAACCTGCAGGTCCACTGCAACTCTTACTACTTTTAAATCCAGGCTGAAGACTTTTCTTTTTGCCGCTGCTTTTAATTGAACTATTCACATCTTAAACTGCACTGTAACTTTTATCCATGTATTTTTTCTTTTAATGTTTATTTTATTATCTTTTCTTTTTAATGACTGATTTTAAATGCCATTTTCTTAATGTCTTCCATTTTTGTAAAGCACTTTGAATTGCCTTGTGTTGAAAGGTGCTATATAAATAAACTTGCCTTGCCTTGCCTTGCCTTGCCTAATATAGAAAGGGGTTATGGTGGAATTGTCAATTTTGCTTAGGAAGTCACAATAACAGCGGTATAAATTAGATACTAAGTAAAGGAGCTTCAGCTTTCCTTTAATATATCATTTAGCATAGGATACACTCGACCATCCTTTAATAAAGGTAAGGAGATAATGCTGTTCCACATTAGATTGCTGCCACAACATCGGCCATTAACGGAACAAATCAATATGACCTAGAAAAACAAAACAAGGTGCTACTTAAGCATTCTACAACTTATGCCACAACTTGCCAAAGCGCTTACTTGTTTTCACCTATTAAACCAAACCACTATTAAAGGTGGGGTCGGTCATTTTGGAGAAACCAGCTTGAGATCGCTAGAATTTGAAAATACACAGCCAGAAAAAATCTGCCACTTCCTTACAGAGCCCCTCCTCCAACACACACGAACGCGCACATGACCAATGAGGGCACGAGATAAGTTTGTGCACAGATGGAAGGCTGACAGGCAGGTAGGCCATCCAGTTATTTTAGCCGGGCCGGCTAAAATGATTGGTCATGCTTTTTACAGTACTACGGCTTCCACAGATGAAATTTTTTATGGATTTTTGGTCAAAGCACTTAAGATATTCATTGCTATCGGGATGTTAAGAGCATTCCATGGAATATAACAAAAAGTGTATCTGGAGCCGGTTTCTCAAACTTACCTACCCCACCTTTAAACCAAAGGGCGAACTATGAAAATGCTTAATACTGTAGAATGTTTGTTGTTTGTCATTTTTTACAACATGTTTGAATGATTATACGAACAGCGATATATTTGTAGACCTGGCAAGTTATGAATATATTGCATGAAGTTGTATTTATTCAAAATAGTTTCATACAATCATTCTTATTGGGATTCGTGTGGATTACGTGTGGATATTTAAAGTGTTTACATTTTTGTATACAAATTCCAACATTGATAATGAAGAATAAATGTTTCACTGTTAACGTTTACAAAAAGCCTGTATTAATTAAACAACATCATACAAACGCATGAGGTATCCGATTGAGCTTACGCACCGTACACACGTATACGGTGCGTTATTGTAGCATAGTCTGGTGTATGGTACTTTCAACATGGCAGGCGCACATCAATAATGTCAAATTGCATTAGCACAACGGTTCTTATTTCCTAAGTCTTGGTGAAATCTCTTCAAAAATGTTCATTGAGGGTAAGGAAAGGGGATAAGGAAAAGACGTTTGTATGAGTAGGATCTGATTTATTTTGACAATTCGACCACAACCCCGGTATCACATACACATACAGAGAGAGAGAGAACGAGAGAGAGAGAGAGAGGAGAGAGAGAGAGATGAGAGAGAGAGAGAGGAGAGAGAGAGAGAGAGAGAGAGAGAGAGAGAGAGAGAGAGAGAGAGAGAGAGAGCGGAGCAAAGTAGAGACAGAAAAAGCATGTTCTGTGGGACACGTTTTTAACGCATCTTGATAAATAGCACATGGAAGAAGATCGGTTGATCCTCATCTGCCTCGTCGCCATTAAAAAGTCATCATGCCCGGTTTACTTCTTTCAAAACACATCAAGTCGTTCAAAAAAATGCATCTGCAAGTCACATTATCCATTATAGAAGTACTTTTAGTCTGTATAACCCACATTTGTTTATTTCTGCTGAAGTATGTGAAATGTGAATCTAAGTTCCGTTCACTTTATTCAAAAGCAATCATGCATAGACTGAGATAGTATGACCTTAGAATCATTTGTAAAGCAGAATACCACTTTTCACGGTTTTTGCTGAATAAATACTTAACTTTTTAAAGAAGAATAAGAAAGTAAGAATAATTACAATGTATCATTGGTTTTGAGAACTAAATCTAAATTGCTCCTGCTGGAACCCTTTTATTATTGTGCTAATTTATATGGAGTATAAAGCCTAAACGTATTGATATTGGGCGTGTTCAATACCTACCAGCAATATATAGCAATTATTCTAAATCATTTATGAAATTAACAAACATTGGAACTAAAAAGAGGCAAACATTTAAAAGTATTAATTAATTTAAGCTTATTAAAGCCGTTTTTTGTACTGTAGTTGTGCTTTCTTAAACCCCACATAAATAATTAAAATACCTCCTGAACAGAAAATCCACTCTCACAACAATTCCAATTGTAGTTAATAATCTCCAGAATTGTATATAGACTTAAAAATGTACTTACCCCCAATGAGGTTAGAAATGCCCTCTTTCTTTTCACTTTTAATATGTTCAAATATTCCACTGTCTTTTAATCAAGTCAATTTCACAAATATGAAATTGGAAACCTTTCACTCTATGGGACATGCCACATCTATTGATGCCTTTATATTGCAATGGAATAATGGCTGATGACGTGAATCATAGGCCATTCAATTTTCAGAAATGTTGTCACACCTTAACAACACCCAATCACACGCTACGGAATATCAACTGTTAATCTTATTGTCTTGCCTTTGTGTCACGACATACTTGCATCTCTTGTGCTGTCAATCATTTAAGTTGTCACTGTGATTACACACCCGCCCTATTCTTGTTACCATGATGTCCACGGATTTTTCTCATGTGAATTTCTTTCAAAGTCAACATTGACTCAAGGAGAAACTGTTTCAATTATGCATGTCACATTTCACTGGAATCAAGGATGAACTGATTATAATTTGCTCAGAGGTCAAGGTCACTGTGAGCTAAAAAAAC